TGGGGATCTAGAAATGCAATGTGGTACATTTGTCTCATATCATGTAATGCTCCAGTAAGGCCTGGGGCAGCCCATGGCAGTTAAAGACAGAACTATTTCTGCAGAGAGGAAGGTGTATATTCATACTATAGAGAGTTTCTCATTGGTGAAGGTTAGATTTTGAATGAATAGGTCAAATAAGGTTTTGTCTCAAAACAAATTATGAAGAAAGTCTCAGTTATCAGAGCTTTTCAGTTTTCAGTACTGCTGATAAGAGATTGTAGATCTGCAGTGGTAAAGCACAAAATGCAAGTTCATATTTCCCTGCACACTAAAGTGGAGGCAAATCCTCTGTGAGGAATAATGTAAACATCATAAGTCATCAGATATAACTTTGAAAATCCTTGAGGGTGCCCTCATGATGTTGCCAGGGTGAGACTAGATCAGTGCTTCCTCGGCTGAGCTCTAGAAGAAGGAACTGGTTATATTTCATGGCCACATTGAATGAAAAAAATACATCATTGAACATGAGAATCACTCCAGCCACTCTCAAAGTATTGGGATGATCCATTTATGAGAAGCACAAAGCCTAAGAGAGTGGCAGAGTTAGGTCTCTTATCTTATGCTCATTCTGGTGGAATATGTTCTTTAATGGTTGGCAGAAACGTCCCCTTACTGAAAACAAAAAAGCAAAACAAAACCTAACAAAAAAAACAAGAAAATCTTGTTCATATTTGTGTGTATATGTATACTTGCATGTTTATGTATATGTCTGTGTATTAAGGCAGTGAGTAATAGCTGAAAAGATATATTAGATGCCCTTTTGATTTAGCATCACTGCGAGCATTTATTATGTTCATTTGTTTGCTTATTTTGAATTGTTTTCTCTTGTAGACTTTAAATTCAGTGAGTTTATGCTATCTGGTTCACACTGTATACCCAGAGCAAGGTACCATACCTGTTTTCAATAAATATTTATATATCAAGAAAAAGTATTGTGTAATGTTTACAAGCCCAGACTCTGTAGCTTGGCAGACAAGGTTTGAATTCCTGCTCTGCTACTATTAGCTGTGAGACCATGGACAACCTTCTTGTGCTTCAGTGTCCTTATATGAAAAATAGGGATAATCGTACTTTTCGTATCAACATAAATGGACTAATCGATACTCTAACAACAAACTCCCAAACCCCAGTGGCTTAAATCAATAAAGATTTTTTGGTTTTTTTTTTCTTGTCACATTGCATGTTCACCATAGGTTGGTCAGGATTCTCTGTGTAATCCTTGTCTTCATGACCCAACTGTCTGAGCAGGCACTACCTGGCACAAAGCCAGTTGCCCTGGCAGTGTGGAAAGAACATTCTTCAGGGGCAAACATTGATAATTAAATGCTTGGCCTGAGAGTGACACAGGTCACTTCTGCTTACACGTTGTGCAGAATTAGCCAGAGAGGTCCAGGGAACACAGCCTTGCCATTGTGCGCAGGAGGTAGAGAGGCAGAAAGATACGACCTCATAGGGTTAGCATGGTGATTAAAAGACTTAATGTCCATAAAACATTTGGAAGAGCACCCCACACCTTGCTACATGCTACATAAGTGTTTGCTGCTGTAATTATTATCATTATTAATAAATTCATATTTTTGGAGGCCATTATAAAGTTACCTTTCAGGCTTCTTTTTTTTAATTGTATTTGGCTAATGTTTCACGGTGGTTGTTTCACTGTTTTTCGTTAGCTATCAATGAGTGCCAAAGTCCCATCGAGCAGACCCTTACATATCTTCAGCACAGACAGAGGTCAGCCCACAGGATGTCCCTCCAGCCTCACCTGTCTCAAGATGACCTTTGTGGCCCAGCTGGATATAGAAAGATAAACCCAGGGGAGCATGCCAAGAGGAAATGAACCCTAGTAACTTTTAGGTGTTGCGTGCTGTGAACATCCTAGCTCTTAAATATGTTTCACACAAAAATATCTATGCTTCAAGCTGGAGCATGCAAACAGCAATCTGCATTTATTGGTTTCAAATGCCAATTTCCTCCAGCTCTTGGTTCTCTTTGCATTATATAAACAAATCTCAACCATCTGGACCCCCAACAAGCCACACTAAAAGTATGTGCTCACGGCTTGCAAAAGCATCAAATCAAAATATGATCTCACAGAATTCTGCCTAATGGAAAAGAAGTGAACACCATGGCCCTCCCAAAGCAGAGATGAGCCTATCAGAGTATTTCACTTTGATAAACACGAACATATATAACCAGAAGATCATAACCTGTGGTGTTACCTTTATTAAGAGTAGTCTAATTCAGTACCTTCCAAACTAACTCAAAAAAGGAAGAGCTTAGAAACAGTGTCTCAGACAAGTGGGAAAATAGAGAAGAGATTGCTACAGTACTCATTCATGATAGAATGCAAAACCTTTAATTCCTATCCTGCTAAGGAAGTTAAAATGTATGCATTATAATATTGCAAGAAACAAGCTAAACTCTAGCCCATCAATATTAAGAAACAATGAATCGAAAGTAGAAAGTAGATTGTGCCAAAAAAGAAAGGACTCTGCCAGAACAAGTTAAATACGTTACCACTTAACCCACCTGGACCTCTGAAATGAATACTAAGCATCATTTCTGATGTCTTATCTCCCTGATATAATTCCAGGCTGCTGAAGGCATCTTCTCAAAGCCAAATATTTTAGACAATCACCATGGCCAGCCCTGACCGCAGGCAAGTACAACTGCTAAAAAGGATTCTTGCTTTTTTTCCCCCTCTGCCTAAAAATATCTCCCCACCAATTTAGCGCAGTCCCCAAAATGTCCACCCTATGAGAAAGATTACTATCATCAGCCTTCATGGCTCAGATTCATGAACTTTGAATGTTATAGTAAGAATATCCTGAGAGAATGGTGTATAAGACCATGAGTTTTATTAACACAGTAAAAAAATGGAAGCAAAGAGAATAGAAAGGCCTATAACTTGAAGAGAAACACGTGGCAGTGAAAAGGAGGAACCATTGAGACTCCCTAAACAATTTTTTTTTTTCTATAGTTTCAGTGATCATGCTTCCTGGCTACTGTCAACTCATCTGATGATCATGCTTTGTCACCCTCGAACCATGCATATACAATTAAATCTAAACAGAACCTACATCAAATTATTTGATATCCTAGAGACTCTCCACACATGGAGGCTACAAAATCACACCAAGGTAGAAGACTTTCTGTCTGATTTAGTAAATTTAATTATGTAGACATTGTCTAATTATAAAATTGACCTTCTTGGCCCAAAACGTGATCTAAATAACTTGAACCTGGTTCCATTCAACTACATCCATCTTCTTGATTTCCTCTCAAAATTTTATCAAGATCAGTTAAAAACCAAATGCCACTTGACAAGATGTAATGCATCCAAATTAAATGAGAATATTATGTAATCCATTATTTAATCACAGATCAAAATATCAAAACAGATGTGGGCAAATTCCCACGAACCCTCCCAAGCCTCTGTCTTTTTTCATAAGCAATTCTGGTTCAGTTGATCAGCCATACTTGAGCAGCTTTCCTGAATGAGATTAGCTCTTTCCTAGGTCTTTTTGTTTTAATCTACTGGGAAATATTTAATCAGGAAAGAATCAAAATCCCCATTAAACCTCTAGAGAAAATCCTTCTGATTGTTGATATTTAGATAAGTAGATGATAAAATGAGAAAACATGGAAACTTATTTCATAGTTAATGTCAGGTAGATTTCAGGAGAAATTACTTGCTCTGTTTACATTATAATCTCTGTTATAACCTGATTATAATCCAAGTGCAAAAGTCTCAGTTCCTGTTAGACAGGCTATGTGCTATTTGCTTACTTCAAAATAGCCAGTGACCATAGCACTGGAGGTTCTAATCACATATAAGTCCTTGGATTTCAAGCTATTTTTAGCCTATTTTTTTAATTGTTCAACTCCAAAACAATATTATTATAAAACTCTTTCTTTAAATGGCTTAAAATCATTCCTAATCCTCTGGGCTATCAGAATTGCTTACAAAACCAATAAAATCCAGAAAAAAATATTTCCAGTAATCATTTTCAAACAATGAAGTTTGGACTTTATCAATTGGCAAAAATAGCCCAAGCTTGTGAAACAGCAATCAGAAATCCTACTCTAACATCTCACACAGAGCCACATATTTTAGTTTTTAGAAAAATGTTGGCCATGTTTTACAACATAGTATTATAATGAATATTCACAATTAGAAATCCATGTCCACAAGAGAAGGTTTGATCCATTTAGATATCCCACTTAAAAGGTCAGAGGAATCTAAAATGAAAGATCTCCAAATAGAATATTTACTCTGTTTCCAAGAATATTTACACTAAATCAAGTTTGTCTGTTAAAATGGGAAGTTTCATTTGGAAAATGCTTATAGACAACCTCATTGTCCAATCATTTCAAATCAAGGAATTAACCACTTTCAAATTCTTACAACACACACATAACAATTCCACCCACTGTAGCACCAATGGGCAAAGCAAGACTCAGAGGGCCAACCAACATACCTTTAAACTGCTGCAGTACTTGGATTACAGCTATTTTTAGAGTACTCATCAAACTGCAGGAGGGGTAGGGATGAAAGAGAGCGTGTGCTGTTTTGAGAAAGGCAAATTATGTTTTTGGCAAAACAGGGGAAAATAATTTCTCTCTCTCTCTCTCTCTCTCTCTCTCTCTCTCTGACATCTGCTTCATAGCTCAAAGGATATCTCCTTGCAATCACTATTCCTCACACCACTTGTTTTGTTAGATAGACCTACGAGTCACAGATGACGAGATCTCATCTCATCTCAACACAGTCTCATCAACAACCTCCAAACTTGGCTGATAATAGAAAAGGTTTTTCTCCTCCTTCTCTCATGCCAAGAATAAAGCTAGATAAACATTTTCAAAATATTCAAAACATCAACCACAAATGAGCCATGGAAATATTTTGGGATAATGCCACAGTCTCCCATGTTTCAGGAGCAGGAAAGTCTTATTACCTTGCTCTCTTCTCCTTCAAACACTGATTGGTGAACGTTGCATGCAAACAACGAGTTGGGGAGGTCGTTGAAGTCAGTGATTGCTTGAAAAGCTTCCTCCGCAAAACACCGAGTTACAGCCCAGTCTCTGTCTATGCAGCAGAGCAAGAAAAGTCCTCCATCTTCTGGGATGTACCCTTGCTGCCCAGGGCTCCTCATTCCAATGAAATAAGATTCTCCCCTCATTCCTGAGGATGCAAAGATGGACATGTGTTAGAATAGCACTCGATCCCTTAAAACTTGGTGTTTAGCTCACAGTTCTACGGTGTCTGGAGCATAGCAGAGGAGTACGATTAGCAGAAGAAGCAGGGGCTATTAGATGGGGGAAGACTTGGCAAGTTCACATTATCCCCTTGATCTCTGAGACACAATTTCCCATGCAGTCCTGCTTCTGGGCAAGAATCTAGTCAGTGTTATTGTCAAAAACCTCCCACTTAACCAGGATAAGAGTTGGAGGCCGAGGGCTCTAGCCTAACTTCCCAGAATTGACTAGAATTGAGACCCAGGAAAGTTATATAAGTTATCTGAGCCTTTGCTTCCTTACGACAATCAAATGGACTCAAACAAAAATGCATGTGGGAAAGTGCTAAGTTACATGATGAATTACATAACACCACCACCACCACCACTGCTGCCACCACCACCATTACCAATGCCTATTCTTTATTGAGTTCCAGGAACTGCTCTAAATGAGTTACATCCATTAACTAAACTACTTAATTTCCACAATAGTCGATGAGATGGGTACCAATACTATTTCCATTTTACACAAAGAAAAACTTAGGAACAAAGCAAGTAAGTAACTTTTAGAAGGTCAATGATAAAGTGGCAGGACTAGGATTCAAACTCAGGGAGTTTGGCACCAGAGCTCATGCTCCTATACCACAGAAATGAAGCAGATCAAAATTAATACAAGTCTATACTAAGGAAGTACAATCTCCTTCATTTCCACCTGAATCCTGATTATGGTAACTCTAATAGATCACAGTTTATCCACAATGAGGACACACACACACACACACACACACACATCTTTTGCATGGGATGATTAGTCTTAATAATTTGTGAATCTTGGATCTTGAAAATCAGTACTATTTGGCTGATTCATAATATATAGATTCCCCTCCTTCATCGTCCCCATTAGGAAACTTTCCAGTATTAATCTCATCTAGCTGTGTTGCATCATTCTATTATTTCCTCACCTCTTAGATTCAAAATTCTACCCAACTGCAACCAGTTGGAGAGGTTTTCCATTTTTTGATACTGGTACATAATTTAGTACATTTTGTCTGTCTCCCCCGCATACTTCTTTTATATCTATTTTCATGCCTTTCATTATATTATGTTCAAACCTCAATTATTAGAGGCCCAGAAGGTCAAATACCTTGCCCAAGGGTATACAGGTTAAGATTGACTGACAGTTATGACATGGCTACTGGACATCTGTAAGCTCCATTTTCCCCAATCCCAGCACTGCAAAACCTCAGAGCAAAGAACAGAAAGGTGGGTACCACGGAATGTCACTTAGCCCTCATGAAGTTTAAACACAAAGTCTGGATCCCCAGACAAATATAAGTTTCTGCTTACATCTCTCTTGAATTCAGAATGTCTCATGATGATAAGGTTATGTGTTTTATTTTTATTTTTCCTGGAAACAAAACCCAAATAGTATCCTGAGAAGTAGTATATGATGGTAATATAAATAACGCATTACATATAAAATCTTAGGCATGGCTGGGACAAAAGCCAAAAATTAAAGAATTTGAGATTATAACTCTAAAATCAGATTGTGGTAATCGTGGTAAACAAAAATCTTATTCTATGTAAAATATAAGAGAACCATTCCTATATCTAAAGTTCTTAAAACTCTAATTAATGCAACATTTTCTGTATTGGAATCAACAAAATATTTATTTTAAATAAAAATATGGTATATATTTTAAGCTTTGTTTTATTCTATAATTAATCCAAAATATATGAATATTTTTAATTGAAGGAAAAACTTCAATGAAATACTAATACGAATTTATTTTCTTTTATTTCAATTATACAGTTGCTTTAGATATTTTAGTGTAACATGCATAATAGCCATCATTTATTATTAGAGTACCAATTATTTTAATAGTAGAAATAATTGCTAAGAGCATTAAAATGGTATTATTTGGATTAATGGATTATAGGAAAACCTTTTGATAATGAAGTCATAATCATCCAGTAGCATGAAATATAGATATGAAGTGTCAATTCTGATCTTATTCTTAATCCTGTCCTTCTTATTTAAAAATGTTTAAATTAATCAAAAAAGATCCCAAAATGTTCTTAAATGGATCTGAGAATGTTTCAATTATTCTTTTTCCAAAAAGAATTAAAATCTATTGCTGAACTAATTAATTAAATAAACCAAATAATAAGCCTCACTCGGGACTCATTTTAATCTACTCAAATGGCCTTAACTTCTGTTCTAAACTGTAACAATAGGATTAGCTTCATGAGACTTTATTTTAAGCTCATTACTTTCAGTAGAGATTTAAAAGGTGAATGCATTTTTGGCAAACAACCTATTCTACTTTCTTTGCAGAAATATTTTAGAATTCAGAGCTTTGAACAAAGGATACCTGATTTCTCTTTCCAGTTTCATTACTGACTCACCTCATAATTTGGAAAAGTCAAATGATCATTATATGACTCAGTTTATCATTATAAAACTGGAACAAAAACATCTATTCTGCCTCCCACGGTAGAGTAGGAAGAGGCTGAGGAATGAACTAGGAATGAAAGAAGTGATCAAAATCAGTATTAACCACTACATAAAAGGACATGTAATAAGAAATACTATAAAAAGACATCATTACGATAATCTTGGAGCAAAACTATTATGCTTTCGTATTACCACTAACTTTTAGTAAACCCCAATATATAGAGAAAGAAAGGGAAACTCTGAAGATTAAAAGAACTCTCTAATAAAGAAATGTGAAGGTCCTGCAGCCGAAAATAGTTTATCTTTTTAACTTCAAAACTCTTAACAACTGTAAACATCTTTGAGGCAACAATTGCATAAGAAAATTTGCATGTGTTGTCCTTATTTCTAAATCTGAGGTTGGTTATCCAAGAGAGAACAGCTGTCTTCAGCTCGAGGCAACTCTCCGGGGAAAGCTTCCCAACCTCTCCCAGGGCCTATCCTTCTTTTGCACCTGAGTGTCCTGCCCCGCCTTCACTCATGGATCATCCTGCACTGTAATGACTGCTTTATTGGTCTGTATTTCCAGTCAGATTGGTATTTTTTGAGGGCAGAAACAGCTGTCTTCATCAGTGTGATACATTATATTTCATCTTCAGCCTGGTACAGATAGGAAGCCTTCATAATGATGTTTGAATTAATGAATTATGAAAAAAGGAGTCACTTTCAGGAAATAACAGACCAGCAAGAGAGTTATAATGGACAATTTAAAATATAAACACTAATAACATACCATTTATTTCAAATTTATATACTAATAATGAAAACTACCCATTCGTTTCAATTTAAGGTTTGATTTATATAATTTTATAAATCAAAGATTGCAATCATTACTCAAAGGATTCCTCTAGCTAAAATTAAAAAAAGAAAATCTGCAGACTATAATTGAAATAATTATGTTTTTTGATTATATGAGTTCACTGAAGAAAAAGATGGAAAAAAAAGAGAAAGTTATAAAAAAAAAAGGAAAATAAAAGTAAACCATAATCATCCTATACAGAGAAAATTGCTAATATTTGGGTACATTTATTACTTGTGCTTTTTTCATATGTAATTTTTTAAATGAGATTGAGATCCTGCTGTTTAGTATTCTACTTCTTTCTGAAAACACTAATATAATCAAGAATGAACTATTTTTATTTTTAAATGAGATTGAGATCCTGCTGTTTAGTATTCCACTTCTTTCTGAAAACACTAATATAATCAAGAGCAGTTCCCTGCATCATTATATATCCTTTGAAAACATTTATTTTAATAGCCATTGATTTTATGTGATAGTGAAGCTAGTATGAGCATCTAGCTGCAAGTTCTCTGCATCATTATATATCCTTGAAAACATTTATTTTAATAGCCACATAGTAACCCAGTGTATGGATCTGTCATATTTATTTAACCACTCTTCTGTCGTTTGACATGTGGAAAGCATAAATTTCCACCATCACATGCATTGAGAAAAGGAAAACCACTATCCACTCTTAAAATATAAAGCCTCCCCCGGGAGAACCTCAAAACTTCTTTAGATACAGAGAGGAGACATCTTTATGAAATATTGGAAAGATCTCTGGTGGCATACTTGGGTTCTAGTCCTTCTGTAAAAGACAAGCCTTCGGAGCTATGGTTTTCTTGTCAGCAAAATGGAGAAACACTATGGCCTTGTCTAGTGTGACCATCAAATGAAATGAAGCAAGCGAATGTCTTTTAAAGCCTCCAAAATGATATCTGAATTAAAATTATTCATTACCATGTATTGGCTCATCAAGAACGAGTCGATAGAAATCTGGTACTACACAGGTGGTTGCCATCTACTACTGTCAACGGTGTAAACAAGTTTCAAACAAGTTTCAAACAGTGAAGACTGTCCATAAGGGTCAAGCCCATATAATTAAAATGAGAAAAAAGTAGAGATCAATATTTGGTCAGAGCTAGGTTGAAAGAACCCATTAGAAGGGAAAGATATTCCTAAGGAAAAAGAGAATAATTAACATAAAAAACAAATACTCCTGTCTCTGCCGTAAACATCACCAACAACAGAATAGTTTATTTAAATATTACAAAGTTAGTAGCAATAAGAATATAAATGATTGAACTTGTCTGTCTTTAACAGAGGAGGAAGCCTGGAGAGAGGAAGATTTTCAACTTTGTTACTTTGCTATAATGGGAAAATGATTTCATCCAAGATTCTCAGATAACCTGACAGCACTTATCAGAAGTTAAAAAAAAAAAACAAAAACCTTAAAATGGTGACAGTATGGTTCTTACTGTGAAGACTAGCCATCTGAAACTTAAAGATGCGTGTTTAGCATCAAAGAAGAAGCAACTGAATGTTCATTGCATAAATAAGTGAATAAATTCTCTTTTGAAATAAATTTGGATTATCTAGACATTACTGGATTTCCGCACAGGAATTAATCTTTCCAAAACTCACTACTTTCATTCCTAACATTTATGTGG